TTTCCGTATTTCAACTTTGCGAATTTCTTCATCTTTATAGTCCCAAATAAATATACTTTTTAAACAGAACATAGCGATGACAATTTTTTTCTAATAGTCTAATGTGTCCTCTTTAAAACCCCGTTTGAATTTTTAAAATCGGTCGATTACAAAAAAAGATACAAATTTTTGTTTAAAAAAAGAGGTTTTTGCTGATTTTCTGCGTTTTTCAGTTTTTAAATGGATTTTTCACTAACTAAACTTGAGTAAAATTAAATTTACCGTATACCATTCTCTTCGTTATTAAAAAACGAAGAAATTCATGTAGGTTTAAAGGCCCTTTATTTCTGTAGGACCGGTTTTACGATCAAATAAAGCGTGGGGTCGATATTGCCCCCAGTCATGGATTAGAAGGTCAAAAAAATGATACATGGATTCTAGGGTTAAGAGAAAGCAATCTCACCGATCCGCTGATCCTGGCTTCTCGCCGCTGCTTTTCGTCCTTCTCGAAAGCCTCTCACAAAGATCGCGCTGGAACCAGCTGGAATTTCTCGCCACACGTTGCCACACGTCTACCCACGGCGAAGGAACCGGAAAAGATCGAGCGAACACTGCACGCTGCTCGATACCGCGATACCGGATCGATGGTATGCCTGCTCAGGGGTGTGCAAATCTTCTGCGTGTTATCGCGACCGGCGACCGCCGACCAATTAGGGGCGAGTTCCGCGGATTCGCAAGCTCGCCACGCCACGGTCCCCGTCGCGCAGTGTCGTATACAGTCGGTCCTACGGGGGTGCTTCGTGAGCCCGCACCTTCGCAATGGCATTTCGAAATTTTCGCCGAGCGCTCCGGACAGCCGGGCCTCACTTCTACCGACCGGAGCTGTCCCGGTGAATCTCTGGGATGATGACCTCGCCATCTCGGGTCCGGTCGGTACCGTGAAGATCGGTCGGGGCATCTCATTTTCCTTGGCCGTGGAGGGCCCTGCGACAGTCTTCTCCGTCACCTGCCGATCACGCGCTATACGCGCGTTCCATCGCGCTCCCCTTTAGCCCAGTAAAATGACTCGAAATTTGTCGATTTGGAGGAAATAATACTGACTGGACTGAAACTTTGTAAACAGGCTTGTTTTAGGATACTATTTAACATATTAAAAGTCCCCACGTGTAGACGCTACGTTGCGGGCAGGGGAGGGTCCAAAAAGTCCAAAAAATTAGTTTTTCGCAAATAACTCGGAAAATATCAACTTTACGGATATTTATGCAGATATCAAAATTGTAGCTTACAAAATTCCGCACAATTTCGTTTTTTATTCAAGTCTGTACGACCAAATAAAGTAGAGATAAAATTTTTTTAAACACCAGTAGTTTTGCGACGCAACGAAAACGCGTACGTGCTTCGCGCATTTTTTGCTAATATCTCGAAAATGGACTTTCGAATCGAAAAATGTTTTAAATAAAAGTTGTAGAGAATCTAATTACGAACCATTTTGTGTTTTATTCATTTTTGTACAGTGAAAAATTGAAGAAATATGAATATTTAAATAATTTATAACCGCCATAGAAGAGATACGATGGAAATTAGTTGTTAGTCTTCTTCTTCTTCTTCTTTATTTGCGCACTATTTGAATAGTCTTCATCCGATTCGGAATCGCTCATTTCGTCAGATATGAACATATTTAGGCAGCCGTTCTGTTTGCAATTAGCACAGAGGTCAGAACATCTTAACCCTGCCTTTTTGCAGCCACATGACCCGGTGCAATTTGATTTGCATTTACATGCTTTTAATTTAAGAAAAAAATAAAAAAAAATTAAAAAATTAATAAATTAATTAAAAAATTAAAAATAAATAATAAATAATAAATAAATAATAATAATATTATTAATAATAATAATAATAATAATTAATAAATTAATTTTTTTACATAAAAAATATCTGTCACACTTCAAATTCGTTTTTTCTTATTCAGAAATTCTTTTTCTAGCATTCTTTAAGTCCTTAAAGTCCTTCTGTACCATTTAAAAATTACTAAATTTGCGGCGACGAAATTAAGTATTCTTATTTAATTAATAATTATTTCATATTTTTTTCTCATTTGCACTACTTTTAGCTTTAATTTGCGTGTTTGATCATTAAGTTTTGTCAATTTGTTCGTGAGTTATGATTTTTTAAATAAAACGAGTCGTAAAGTGTTTGCCACGCCGCGCGCCGCATATCGACTAAGGACTCTTCTCAATCTTTAATACCTATGTACAGTACTATCGGTCCTAAAAATATCGGCTTAGTATCAAACAATTCAGAAAGACCCCAAAAATAACTTATGACACTTCAATAGGTACAGAAAAATGTTAAGGACACGTTTTTTCATCATTTCAGGCGACTCATAGTGATGATCTGCTACATACGTAAACTTACCTGTCTTTTGAAACGCCAGTTTCCCATCACAATGCATTCAAAATTACATGTCATAAACTCCAATTTATAGGAAATTTTGTCAGCTTTAATTTCGGTCTCTTGAAGTTTTTTCGTAAAGTTAATAGAAACGGAGATATTTACAAAAAAAAAGAATGATAATGCAATTTTTCCACAATTTATCAAAAATACAGCAATATTCATAAACTTTTTTTTTAAATAAAACATACTTTGCGAAGGACTTATACTACTCCAGCACGTTCATATATATATATGAAGTAATGAAAACAAGGTAAAATAAATTTTTGAAAAATTATTATCCATATATTTTTGGACTAAAATGTTAATTTAACAAAAATTGATTTTTTTTCTTCAATATTTAAACGCCTGTAATTCATCAACGTTTCAATGAAAAAAGGTCTACGACGTCTCATTTTAAAGATAATTAAAATATCTTCAAGAAAAATACATAACATTACTGCCTCCAACCAATTAGAAAAAGTTATTTTCCAAAATGCACTAAAAAATGACATTTTTTCATGTTTTTTGCTCTTAACTTCAAGCTATCTTTACCAAAATGGATTCATGCATACATCAACATGTTCAAAATTTTATTCTCTTTAACTTTCATTATATATACTATATGTGTACGACCTATACTTTCAGAGTTAATACTGATTTTTACATGCAAAACATCCACTATCAACATAAAATAAAATTGTCTTTTAATTAATAACTCGGCGAATTTGGACCGTACAAAAATAAATAAAAAACGAAATTGTTTGTAATTAGATTCTCTACTACTTTTATTTAAAACATTTTTCAATTCAAGAGTCCATTTTTGAGATATTAGCGAAAAATGCGTGACGCGCGTACGCGTTTTCGTTGCGTTGCAAAACTACCGATGTTTAAAAAAATTCTATCTCTGCTCTATTTGGTCGTACAGACTTGAATAAAAAACGAAATTGTGCGGAATTTTGTAAGCTACAATTTTAATATCTACATAAATTTCCGTAAAGTTGATATTTTCCGAGTTATTTGCGAGAAACTAATTTTTTGGACCTTTTGGACTCTCCCCTGCCCGCAACGTAGCGTCTACACGTGGAGACTTTTAATATGTTAAATAGTACCCTAAAACAAGCCTGTTTACAAAGTTTCAACCCAGTCAGTATTATTTCCTCCAAATTTTGTCATTTTACTGGGCTACTTCCGCATAGCCCCCTGCGAGCTCCGCAAACAGCGCGAACAGGCCTCTCTCCTCCCTCTCGACTTCCTCAAACAATCAGCCCCTCGCCCTCAGTTTTCTCTCCTCAAAATTCCTTAGATTCCAACGATGACGTCTTTGTAGAGATGCTAAAATTATATAAAAGAAAAGGAATCGAAAACGCAAATAAAATTATTAATTATAGACCCCCTCCCCCCTGGAGATCTCGCGATTGCTCACATACATCACTTTATTCGTTTATACACTATATATAATAAACGTATAAATGATGATAGATATGCGAAATAGTAAATACTACCATAATAATAATAAATTTTTCATATTTGAATCTCCGTCGCCTTCTTTACAAATAATATGTCTATTAAGTACAAGCTTAAATAAAAGTTTAAATTAATTATATTATAAGTATTATGAATTAAACAATATATGTATATAAATAAAATAAGATAATTTGAATATAATTTAGGTATATTCCTCTACTGTAGAATGCAATTGTGATTTCCATATAATATTTGCAATGTAAAGATAATTCAGATATTATACATTTTTAAAAAACGTTCTTAATTGTTATAAATTGAATCATGTTCAATTTCTTCCTTAATTTCTATAACAATAAATTGTAATAAATCAAATAAATATTATATTGTCATTTCCTCACCGCAGATATCCTGATTCAGAATCTCAAAGAATATATACTATTTATATAATATCAGATATGTATACTATATTTATATCAGATATATATCAAAATGTGTGAATGATTTTGATCTGAATACATAATTGTAAATAGGAAAATAATTATTACTTTGCTATGTAATACTGTTTATATATTGGTGAGTTTGTAGTAATAATTGATAATAACTGATTTATTTAAACTTTATCTTCGTTTGCGTTTCTTATAATTTAAGATTCTTAAATTTATTTTGTCTGTTTGTCGTTTGTTATATTAATTGGTTTTGGCACAAAAAACACTATAAAAATTTTATATATATTTGACTTTCCCAAATCTTGTGGCTATTTTTCTCATATGTAAAGTACTGATATTTTTAAATATTTATTACAAATAAAAGAAAATAAATTATGAAGAAATTCTCTACTCCCACTCCTCTAATAAAAATATTACATAAGATAAAAAAGATAAAAATTGTTCTCTGTAGAATATAATACTAGAATACATATATATGTGTGTGTATACAATGTGTAAATTGTTTCCCCATCAATAATATGTAAATTGTAAACTATACATTAATGAAGCCTCTGGACGTAAACTGTTGCTGGATAAATGTAACAAATATTGAATATGTTGCCTGAAACAAACTCAATATTATTGCTAAAAAAGCATATTTGCGGACGCAGCTTTAAGTACGTGTTATTTGCGCAAACGCTCGATCGCCTCGATCGTCATGAGTTTACGTGCCTGGGACCTGGGATAGTTTACATTGTTCTCTTTGTTAATTGTTTTCAATACTACTGGTGTATCAATATCTTTCGCATTTGTCGCTGTTTCTTACTAATTATCGGTATTGTGATGATTGATGATATTTGAGCATTATTTTACTTTTTATTATCTATAGGTAAGTGTATATTCATTGGCAATGTCTGTCTTTATGCGTAATATTTTTAATTGTATCAATATTACTTTCGACATCATAATCTTTTCTTGTCTACTATCTTGTATCTTTTGTTGAGAATTTATAATAAATACGGTTTGACACATACGAAATTCGTGTCTTTTCAAGGAAATATTAAAATGCGTACACATAGTTATGTTAGGTTAGGATAGGTTTTTCAATAACTGATAATTGCAGATAACAATTATTACAAATAAAGTTTTAGAAAAGACGCATACGTTGGCAATAAAAAACATTACACATTTTAATTGAAATTATTCTCTAATAGTACTTTAATTATTATTACATTCTACTCTTTTTCCATTAATAATTGTTTGTAATCTTATAAATAAATTAAGTTTTCCTTTGTTTCCTTTTTATATTACTTTTCTACTTATATTTTTGTCATATATATAACTATATATTGAAATGAGAAAATGAATGAAGAACAGAGAATGCACTATACTTACACTTTAATTTTGTTCATAAGAAAATGACTTAAATAAGGAAAACATTTTCTCTTAACAATTTAACAAAATAGAAACTATTGTAACTCCGTACTTAATCCATGTAACAGTTTGAATTTATACTACAATATTGTGTTGCATTCATACATACTTAATACATTTTTCCTAATATTTTAAAATATCCTTATTCAATATTTTATTTAATATTGTATATTATTAGTAACTTAAAAAATGTTTTATGATTCAAAGACTTTTCGAAATAAGTTTTTTGTGCAAATAATTCTTGAAAAGTTATACAATTTTGCTTCAGTTAAAATAATATATTTTCAGCATCGTTGTTGTATAGATAATATAGATATAATGGTTAAATAGGTAAACAAATTTATATATTCTTAAAGTCTTTATTTGTATTTCCTTTATGTTTAGAAATAATATTTCTGAATCTGTAGCTCCAGTGTGACCAATATATGTCGACTCATAAAGATGTGGAGAATTGATATGATGATATAAGAAAAACAGAAGACCGAAAGTACAGGAGCTTAGAACTCGCTAATATAAAATGAAAGTTCTTTTAATAAGCGATCGAACAACTGCCAATATAGTTCTTTCGCAATGGACGTTAACATCGGTAATTATATTATTTCGCTATTTTACGTGTACTTGTTTTTAATAATTCTCATGAAAACTTTCTGATAATATCATTCTGTACGTACATTATATAAACTGTAATATATATAGTCTGAAGATACATCACTTCTTCATCAGTTTAATATATTTAATATTTTTCATGTGTTACTTTTTTATTTTTATGATTTCTGTTTAATAACTTTGTATTTTCGGCATATACATAAATTTAATGTTTTGATGTACTTTTTATGCACTTCTCTTCTGAGTTACTCTATCTATAATATGATTACTGTTTACATTTCCTTCTGGATATAATTGGTCATTTTTTTGTGATAACGCAAATAATCAGGAATTAATACTGCTAAATTATTAATTTCAAGGATTATTTAATTAGAGATGAAATATGTTGCAGGCTATGTGTGCGATCCAGACGATCTACCTGGCGCACTTGTGCGAGCGTATGTACATTTGGGAACAAAAGAATTTTCTCACCGAAATGATTACAATATGTATCTGTTGTGGAATGGCGGTTCGAGCAGCTCATCGACAGGCTTAGATCACACCACGTTTTACTTCAATATAAGACCGGATAAGTTAGAAGGCGTTTTTTCACTTTACACAGTTTTTCTTAACGCCTCTCTTTATAGATTTAGAACACCTCTCTTTATAAAGGACCCCGCACAAAAACCTATGGAAATGGGTTCTCGGCGAATTTGTCTGAAACTTTGGGAAAATGTTGTTCATGTCATCTTGATCAAAAGTTCTCATGGCAACAACTCTCTTTAAAACAGTATTTTGGCTCCAGGAGACCTCAAAGATGGATATTTTATCACGCGATCACAGATGATTTCACCCATTCAGCTTTCAGAATAATGATTGTGTGTGTTTGTGTGTGTATTGCATAACCCATAAAACCTATTCGTATGTATTTGACCGGAAATGAATGTCCGGGAAAGAATCTACCATATGAAATCGTTTGTATTTCGTATGAAGACTTTTGAAGTGCAATTGAAAAGGTTTGTGAATCATTCATTTAATTGTAATTAATTAATTATTTTTACACCATGCATAGCCGAAATAGATAAATTAATAAAAGTTTTTATACGGAATCGTTTGTATTTCGTATGAAGAGTTATGAAGTGTGATTAAAAAGGTTTGTGAGTCATCCAGATAATTTTAATTAAATATTTATAAACTCGGTAATTAGCCGAAATATAGATTTTTAGTTATTCATGTTAAAAGAAGAAGGCGCTAGTGTTCCCGAAGGTCCGTCTGCAATCAGAATTAATATAAACCCCCTTGCACAATAGGCGATAACGATAGCGATAGCGACAACAACGACGTTTAAACGTTTTAAAAATTATTTTATAGTGAAATAAATAAATATACAGACTAATAAGCCTGTAATTATAAACGATAGTTGCTAATTAAGTTTGTGACTCATAATTCCGTCTTGCAGAGGACCTCCGTAACGAGATCAAAGATGTACCAGCTGCGCAGGGTGAAGAGGTTATCTCAAACGCCCTGCCACAGCCCAATTGAGCGACTCAAATGTCATTACCGCTGAGAAGTACTTCTTGCCATTTGAATCAGTATGTCAGAGCTATAGTCACTACGGATTGTGGTGACACAGCACTGGACTGCCTGCAGAAGTTAATCGCATATAGCCATCTCACTGGTAATGTGCCTGATTCAACGGAGCTTAACAAGCTGCTGATTGTGCGCATTGTCGAGACAATCTACGGTTGCTTCACTGGTCCACAGATCAATGAGGATGTGCAGCTGCAGATTATTAAAGCTCTGCTGACTGTAATGACAAGCCAGCATGTGGAGGTACACGAGAGTAAGGTACTGTTATTAAACAATTCGTACTGTTTACGTTTACTTGGCGTCGTGCAACCTGGTGAATCAAACAACTCGTGCGACTCTCACTCAGATGATCAACGTGATCTTCGCGCGAATGGAGACTCAGGCGGAGGAAGAGATCGTAAGACTTGATGGGGAACATCAGCAGGAGGGTTCTGTCATAGCAAACGGCGAAACTGAAGCCGAGGTTAGTCCAAAGAATGCTCAGTAATGATAACATTGATTTTCAAACATTTGTCAAGAGTATTCTTGATGATGTGGTAAAATCCGTGGTGCCATTGGAAGAGGAAGTCAGTTTGGAGAACGGCAGTCCGGAGGACAACGGTGACGAGGCAGCCGCTGAGAATGACAACATGATAACTGCAAAATTCACCTATGTGCTGCAAAATGATGCAGTCCTGGTGTTTCGCGCTCTCTGCAAGCTCTCTATGAAACCGCTGCCGGACGACACTTCCGATCCAATATCGCACGAGCTCCGTTCCAAAATCTTGTCGCTTCAGTTACTTCTGGGAATCTTGCAGAATGCCGGTCCAATATTGCGCTCTAACGAGATGTTTGTTATCGCCATTAAACAGTACTTGTGTGTCGCGCTGTCGAAGAATGGCGTGTCTTTAGTGCCGGAAGTGTTCGAGCTGTCGTTAGCGCTGTTCCTGGCGCTGCTCGCCCGTTTCAAGATGCACCTCAAGATGCAGATTGAGGTGTTCTTCAAGGAGATCTTTATGAACATCCTCGAGACCTGTAGCAGCTCTTTTGAGCACAAGTGGATGGTCATACATGCGCTTACGAGGATC